ATCCTCAGAGCAGGGGGTGAATCCCCTGCCGACCCCAGCCCTGCTCCGCTTGTGCCTCTCCTGAGGTCTCCAGTCCTGCTCAGTTTGGGTGGTCGAGGCGCTCTGTTCTGCTCTGGGGGTTTTAGGTGGTTCTCCATCCTCACGTCCTAGCTCAGGATGGGCACTGGGGCAGGTCCTGCTCAGTGCAGGGTCACAGCGACGGGGCCTGGCGTCACACAGAGAGCAAAGCAAGGGGAGCCCAAACCACAACGTTTCTTTGGCAAGAAGCGTCTGGCTTAGAGCCCTGTGTTTATTCTGAAGGGCTGTTTGCATTTCAGGAGGCGCCTGGCCACTGCAGCAGTCCCAAACCAGATTTCCCAGGCTTTTTGGAGGGAAAAGTCTCATGCTTTGCCAGCACAGGTGAACGTTGATCCAAGGAACCGACGTCCTGCGAGAGCATCTGGAGGAAGGCAAAAGGAAACCCGGCAGCATCGTCCCTGGGCAGCAGAGGAGGGTTGTGCTGGGGTGAGTAACCGGACACGGGGGATTCTGCAGAAACCACTTTTTGAAAGCACACAGGTAAACTCCATTTGTGTTGTTTTCTTAATCTTAAGCATCCGTGACGAGCAACAGTATTTATCTGGCCTGTACTTACATATTTACTTTCATTTCCAAGGCTGTCTTTTATCGGCCACTGGCTTGCCAAGGCACGTTAAGTGTATTTGCCAGCTCCCCTGTGGCGTGAGGCCCCTCTCCTGCCCCGATGGCCAGGGAATTCCTCCTGGTTTCCCTGATTCCCACAAGGAAAGGACCCATGATAGAGTGCGGACATGTGACAAGTATTAGACAGATCAATCGAGCGTCTCCGGGGCTTTATAACAAATCCGAAACTGTGGAAAAGGGCCACAAGGCAACAGTAGCTGATGCCTGATATCTTAAATTGCCTCTTGTCTGAATTGCTCAGACATTAAGTAACACTTGGACTTCAGAGATGCTTCTTTTATTGTCACAAATATGGAAGCATTTAATCATGACGTTGAATTTGATTCTTTGCCTTTCATTCTACGCGTTTCGAGGAAGGAGGGTGGCTGTAACAGCATTTGTTCATGGCTAATGTCCCCAGGAACCAAACAACACCTCTGTAATTTTTAGTACCATGATTGCCTTTAAAATAAAAAGTTTTTTTTTTTTTTTTTTTTTTTAAGATAAAAGTATTATAAATCCATCATCCTCTTTCCTCTCCTCACTGCTTGTCTGCACAGAATACAGCGTAATTCCTGCCTGTGTTCCAGCCGCCTGACAGGAGCGACGTGCTGCAGTGGGTGCCATGTTTTGTGAATTGACTTCTTTTTTTTTCCCCTTTTTGTCTTTTTTAACCTCTGCCATGGCTGACACCTGCGTTTGCTGGAGCTTTGCTGCTCTTTGGTGCCAATGTTGCAACGTGCAGCAGCTCCTGCGTGTTGGAGGCTGCCCGTGCCCAGCGCGGCCGGCGCTTTGCCAGCTCCATCCTCTTCCTCCTCCCATGACGTGGCAGTGAACGTGAACAGCCAGCTCCACTATTGCATCCTAATCCCTAGGCAGGAAAATAGAAGGAATTGGAGCCTGTTTTTGTTCTTCTGCTTTTATTCATTCCCCAATTCAGACTCTTCCCACACTGCAGCAATTCCCGCCATTGAAGAATTATTGTAGCTCACTGAAATGGCCTAAAAAAATCAGGATTTGTGCATAACTTAACACGACTTTACTTAACATAGTAATTCAACATGCTATTCAGACTTATTATTGCAGACACTGTAATTTTAATGGCCCGTAGAGCTAAGAATCTAGAGAAAAAAAAACCTGAGCCCTGCTATAAGGCCCAAGCTTTCCCCTTGGGTACCTAAGGCAGACCAGAAAAGTGGCATCCAATGGCTTAAACACATTTTTTTTTTTTTTTTGCCTGCATTAGGTACTTTTGGTGACATGAAGTCGGAATAGGTGCTTTTCCTGAGCAGGAACAGGCTCTTCCATGGCGCACGGCCCCGGCGCGGGGCTCAGCATCCCACACGGATTCACCTACGCTTGCTGCAAGGGGCACGGGCAGGAGCAACTGCAAACACCCAGGCCAAGGCTATGGGACACGCAGGAAGACGGACCCACGCACAGAGAGAAATAGGTGATAAAATAAGGTGTTCTGGGAAGGTCTGTTTTCAGGACATTAACTTACAGGTGCCTTGCGATGCAAATTTGGGCAAGGCTTTGTAATTCCTCCCTGCGTTTGCAAAAGAAAGGGCAATTTGTTAGAAAGTTTGCATCATCCTGGTTTGTATTGAATAAATAGCATAAAAAGAGCTGCTGGATCAAGTCTTCCTGCCCAATTTTTATGAAGAAAATTAGGTAACAACTGAATGAAAGCAAAGTTCAGAATCAGATTCTCAAAATTTGTAAATATAGTAAATATCAGAGAGTGTCTTTAGCAGCAGATAGTGAAACCAGCCTGTTTGCTAGGTATTTCAGAGACCGTACAAAACCAGAGTTTTAAACAGGTATTTACACATATACATATATATATATATATATGTGTGTGTGTGTGTGTGTGTGTGTGTGTGTGTGTGTGTATATAAACATATATCTGCTGAGTGCCCCAGATGACACCCCTAAATAGCAGCGAGGGTTTCTGCACGTTCTGACACACTCAGCTCCAGTTTTGGCCACCTGCAAGCAGGTAAAACCCACCCCAGGCCAAGAACGGCCACACAGAGCACGCAACACGGTTGTCTTTTAAAAATGTAATTTAATTCATGACTTCCACAGCGCTGTCATCATACACATCAGCACGACACTCGAGAGGATGCAATAACCCAGCAACAGTTTTGTGTTAAAACAACAAGCTTCTAAAGATGTAACAGGAAAAAAAAAAATTAACCAGATAGTTATCGCCAGCTGGTTGGCTGAATGAACGCATTGCACCAAGTTCTCTGTAGCAAGTTAAAGGCACTTAGCAAGTTAACAACATTCCTGGCTGTCTCGGCGTCCCCACCAAGTGCCCTGGAAGCAGCAACCGGCCTGGCTGGGGTTTCTTTTTTAAAGCTTCCACCAAACTGGTGGGACCGGGGGCTCCTGCAGGCGGAACGCAGCGCTCGGGGTGCCCCGCGGCGACGCTCGGCCCTCGGAGCACGGAAAAGGGGCCACGCTGCAACGCAGCAGCACGAGGACCCTGCGGACACCTCCAAGGGCAAGTGCAGGGGAGCCCCAAGGGTTTGTATCATCTGCATAGATCCAAAGGGAGCAAAGCCAAGAGCTGCTCCCACCCCGCAGGCCATCCAGGGCCTCTCCCGGCTGCTGCCGGGCTCCGGCGCTCCGGGTGCTCCCGGAGGGGCTTTGGGAAGCTCCCAACAAGCGGGTTTGTGTCTGGGCCGCCAGCGCCGCCTCTCCCGGGAAACCCAGCGCAGGAGGGAGCCCCGTAAATCCCGCGGCGACTTCCCAGCGAAACCCGCTCTGCGGGCAAAGCTGCCAGGGGAGGCAGCAGCCCCTGCGGAGACCCTGCGGGCTCCGGGCAAAAACATCTTGGAAAGGGTAAAAGGGGAAAAAAAAACAAAAAAGCCCCTAAAGCAACGCAAAGCACAGGCTGGACAGCAGGATTTCTATTGCAAACAAACAAAAGAAAAACAGGAGCACAAAAACTCCCCAGTCCTGCAATACTCTAGCAGTTTTGGAAAGCAAAAAATAAAAGAGACTAAATCAGTTTGTAAAATACATTCCTTGTGCGGGAGGAAGTCCAGATGCATTGCACGCGTTTCTGCAACCCCCCCCCGAATGGAGTCAGCAGCCCCACACACCCCGTCAGCTTGTCACAGAGCAGCAAACAGACAGGGAAGGCTCCTGACACATCTCCACTGCCAGCTCCGGAGAGGAGCAGCAGCCGGACCGGCATTCCAGCATTAAATCCAATACAGGAAAGCGGGAAAACCCCCTCCGTGCTCCCCTGGTGTCACCGCTCCCTTTAGGGCCGGCTGCGGCGCGCGCCGACCGCACGGCAGCCCGTTTGTTTAATATAGATATAATAATGTTACCGTATATCATACAGTTCATATGCTGCTTCGATTTTAACATAGATTTTTATTTCTGGCATTGGTGAGTCATTTAAATATTTAGCCCGGACAATAAAATATAAAAACATCTACCATATGTGCCTGCTGAGTCGAACAACTGTCACACTGTTAGGGCTCCCGTGAACGTTATCATAATATAAGAATATCTTAAGTCAATGTCATACATACATTATGAACTTACAAATAAATAACTCTACAAAAAAATCCTGTCTTCTCTCCATAGTTTCATGTGATAGGCAAAAAAGGCTCTTTCTGGTGATGGCAAATTAGGAATTGTACATTTAGTATATGAATACATTACCGGTGCATCACCAAAGTCAACCACTAGTCAACAAAAAAGACGTATCATATGAAACAATTTTTTTAGTTTTTATTTTACATATTTATACATAAAACTTCCCAGGTAACTCTTTGAATCCAACCGAATGTTAATAGCACATCTAAAAATGAACGTCAGGTAGTCAACATTCACAAAATGTTGAAAACTGATTAAAATATACATATTACTGAAAGCTACGACTTCACTACGAGGCAGGCATGTATTTTTTGACTTGTATAGCACCGTCAATTACAGTTTCTTTATTTAAAACTACAGTGAGGAATAAAAAAGTAGTCAATGGTAAAATATCGTTCAACTCAAAATCTCTAAACAAACAAAAATAAAGTTAAACTACCCTCTCTTCTTATCCATGATTTATAATGTTATAAGTACTGTACATTTTTGTAATAATGTTATTAAAATGCCTCATATTTAGTGGCAGAAGTAAAAAAATTAAAATAAATTAAGAAGCAGAGGCCAATAACTGGACATAAAGCTTCGGACATGGTCAATGACTAACACTGCTTTTCTTGTGCGCCGCCTTGGACACCAGCATTTGTACGAACACAGAAGCAAAATAAAGTCTCGGCCGCCCGCGGGGCCGGCGGCTCCTCGTCTCACTTGGCCGGCATCTTCTCTGCCAGGTGCTTCTGCTGACTCTCCGCGTGTCTGGCGGGAGGGAAAGGGAGAACTCGGTTATTTACTGCCCGGTCCCGGGGCGGAAGGTCCGCACGTGCGTGCTCGGCCGTCCCGAAAATCCCCTTCCCAAGGCAGGGAAGCGGTCGGCAGTTCCTTGCAAACCGGATTGGAGCAAAAGGGGCCCGGCCGCGACGGCAGGGAAAGGCAGAGCCCGCCGGGGGAGGAAACACCTTTCCCGACGCGTTCCCGTTTCCGCCGCTCGCTTCCTCCTTCTCCGTGAGGGGTTTAGAGCCTTGGACACAGGCAGCGGATGTGAGGGGCCGGGGTCAGGCCTGGAATCCCATCCTGGGACCACATCCCGAGCCCACCGACCCGGCCCACGGACAGACTCGGCTGTGTGGGAAAATCTCCATCAAAACAACACGCAGCTCCTGGGGCCTCCAGTGGATGCTAAATTCCGTGTCCCGGAAAGAAGCCCTTCTAATTAGCGAGCTCCAGCCCTAATCCCAAATCCTGCTGTTTTATTAGTCGCTGTTAATGACAAGGCGGGGATAGTTGGAAACCACCATCCCCTCAATCGCTGCCGCGGCTGCTGTTCCTGCGAGTGCCGGAGGGTGGCACGAGAAGGACTCGGAAAAGCTGCGCGGCTCTTACCAGAGTCAACTGAAACTTTTTCCAGGTAAAAGAATGATCAAATTTCCACCAAAAATTATGCAACAGTGAGACGTTTTAAAATAGAAGCAGATTTAGGCCACTCTTGCTTTTTCTGTATCGTGTTAGGAAGGAATTCTGAATACTGAATATTCAAAGTGTGTGTGTGTGGGGGGGGGCAGAGCTGGCTGCTAGAAATTTTTTAACCAACCTTATTTAATATATTTTTGCAACTTCAGTACTTCAGTTCTGAGGCCATAATCCCGGCACACTTACTTAAAATAATCCGGGCCACCTTGTAACACCAGAAGCTTTAAATATGTCTCAGATTATGCACTACAGAAGCACTGTCTCAGAGGAAAACACCTCTAACGTGTTGCCACTAACGAGTTGGAGCTCCTTAGGGAACAGGATCTCGAAATGCTTCCTTTTTTATCTGCCATCGAACATTATTGCTTAAAAAATAATCCCCAAAATTTTGCATGTTGTTCAAGTTCTCCTGGCTTCTGCACTGATTTGTTACTGTTTGTTTTTATTTACGCTTTGCTTTGATGGTGGGGAAGTTTCTTAAGGAAGCAAGCAAAGCAGTGGTGGGAAATGGCAATAACAGCCAACTGCTCAAAATTGTATTTTTGGAGCACATTACACCCATTCTGATGTTTAACACAGCACTCGGTAGGCCAGCACACGTCCTTACAGCTGCTACGTTGTCTCCTACGTGCTTTGGGAAGCTTTAGGGCTGGAATTTAGTGCTGGAAACCACGTGCGAGCGGCAGAGCGCGCGCGGGAAGGGGCACCCGTCACCTGGTCAGGTCCTCGATGTCCACCAGCATCGCGTCCTGCTCCGTGTGCAGCTCGTCCCGGATGAGCAGCAGCTGCACCAGCTCCTCGTTCAAGCCTGCGCCCACAAAGAGACGGATCAGGATCAGCCTCCTTCCACACGGACCTGCAAGAGCTGATTTCACTACTGGGCATACGAGACTCTCCTGGAAGGCCCGGATGCAGCCGAGGAAGGGGAATTCCTCAGGCTCCAGCTCCGGCCACAGGCCACCCCCGTGTGCGGAGCAGCCCTGGCAGGACACGTGTCCCACACCAGCCTGCTCTGCTCTCCTGGGCACGCGCAGCTCCAGCCTTTCCCTCTCCCGCGGCTTTGCAAAACACGGATCACGCTCTGGGGTTCCTGTTCAAGTCAAACCTCTACTTAAGAGAGATGAGAGTTATGCTGGGTTTTTGCTCAGGGTTGTGTAGAGAAAAAGAAATTAAAAAAGGACCAGATTATTTTTTCTTTTCCAGCCTGGGACTCTTGCAGGGCTCCAGGAGGATGTTTGCAGCCGTCCTGCTCACACGCTGGGCTCTTGTTCACAGCCCACCCCAGACCTAAGGGGTAGTTTTGGGAGAAGCTGCTCCTTCCCGCATGGACACTCTGCAGGAGCAGGGAAGCCTGGCACAAACAGGGAGGCTCCCCCGAGCCGGGCAGGGCCAGGACCTCGGGAAACCAGGGGAAACCTCCTGCTTCCAGCTGCGCCGCTCAGCTCCTCGCTCGGGGATATTTATGAAACCGTGATAGAGCGGGAGAGCAGCAGGAAAACAGCCCCACAAAGCCACGAGAACTGGCAGATGCTCCCAGGACAGGGAACGTTCCCAAGCTATTTTTAACTGCCCAGGTCTTGAGTTACCAGCGCTGCCACCGGCAGAGCCGGGCCAAGGCCGCAGGAGACAGCGAGGAAAGGACAAAACCCAAGGAGAGAGCCCGGCCGCTGGCCTCTGCAGTGCAGGTCTCTGCTCTCCTTTTGTTACTGCACATTTAGGCACATTTTTACGTGGATTCTGAAGTACCGGTCTTAAGTTAAAGGGATATGCCAAAGAAAAATTAAACGAGTATCACTTACTTTCTATTTGTGAGTGGAGATCATTGACTATCACTTGTAGCTGCCCGATAGTCATATCTCTCAGATCAGTGGGTTTTAAACTTCTCTTCATCAGGCATTCACTTATATGAGGCATATGTGGCAGCTAAAAGCAAATGTCAGACCTTTTAATTTGCTCCTTGCCTATATTTGTGAACAGCAGCAGTTTGCCCTCATGCAACCCCGCTCCCAAACATCCACCATTTACCTTAATCTGCCCAGACCACAGAAGGGCCCTTGCTCTTTGGTGTGACACATGCACACAATGACCCAGGCCACCCAAACCACTGCTATTAACCGTGCACTGAAGGAACAGGCAAGGCCATGAGAAGCAGCTTTACATCAAGACTGTAATGCTCCAACTTGGGCTGAGATTGGATGGATTGAGAAAAAAAAATGTCTTTGAGGATGAGCAGCATCGTGCCCGTTACTGGCTTTGATGGAGGAACAGCTTTCCAGCTTCACCGTTTCATTTCCCACCATGATCCTGCTCTCCTTAACGCCCTGATGGGGTGAATCCCATCGACCCACAGGTGCAGCCTGGTGTTTCACACATGTTTTGTGCATGGACACGGCAGCACCTGTGAGCAAACTGCAACCAGCTAGTGACCAGTGGCAAATCAAGACAGCGCTTGAATCACTACAACAGCCTTTAGGAGTAACAAGAGCTGGTCACGCTCTAGTTGCTGGGCACACAGGGACACTTGTCAGCTATGTCTGCTTGTCACAGTTGGTGACAAGAGCTACTTGGAGAGGTACTATGAAAACAGCAGGCTGTGTGGTAGCCTCCTCCCCAGAGGGCAAACAAGCAATTAGAAAAGAATAGCTCTGAGCACGGTGACACTCAACACAAGTGTGGTGATACCCAAGCAGCCCTTGACCCCAGACTCACAAGATCAGCTACTGGAGATTTCTTGCGGTTCTGCTTTTCCACCTCTACTTGCATTTTGGCCATTGGCTTTGCCATAGCCAAGGCCATTTTGGCTTCAGCTTGTAGTTTCTTTTGCCTCGTGAGGAAATCCATGTCGTCCAGGGATTCCGACTCCTCTTCCGTGGTGTCTCGGTCGGAGTAGGAAGAGCTCTGCTTGCTCTGGGGAAGCAGACAGGCAGCCCGTTAACACTCACTCCCACAGCAGCACCAGAACAAAGAGATTTTGCTTCAAACTGAAGATTCATTTACGCATTTGCAAAGGTACAATTTCTACGTCAAAGAGTCCGGGATTTTATTAATTTTAATCTGCAAGATGGTCTTTAAAAACCAGAGCAATTCCTAGATAGGCCCTCAGGAGTATCAGTATCAACTCGAGCTCTTTCTTTTGAAAGAGGAGAGGCTACAGGATGCCGGGGCCTCCGTGGGGCAGTGCCAAGGGGAAAGGAGAGGGAGAGCGGGTGGGAAACTGGTGCTGCTTCAGCCTCCTTACTGCCGGGGCCATTAACCGCCCCTGCAGGGCCGGCAGGAGGGAAGCAGGAATTTCAAACGGGAAGGCTTCCCTCCTCAGCCGCGGCCTGTGTCGTGTGGGGATTTCCTAGGCAGCAACCTGCATGTTTTAATCAAAGACTGAAGACTCCAGGCTTTAGCTTTGCTATTTTAACATGACCAGTTCTCTATCAGTTTCTATTATGGATTTTGTGATCCCAAATCCCATTGCTCTCCATGCAGGGCCTCCTGCGGGATGAGCTATCCGACCTACCATGGGGGACAAGGGAGTATCGAGGCTCGTCTCGGTCTTGCTGTCGTCGGCATCGCTGTCCTTGTCGCTGCCGCTGTCGTTCACGAAGCAGATCTGCAGGTTCATCCCGCTCTGCAGCCTGCGGGGACAGGGAGGTCACACATGGAGCCGCGACTGCCCTTCCATGGGACATCCCCCCGGAGCCGAGAGCCTCCCTGCCTGGGCTCAAACCTGCTTATCCCGTGAGCAAATCCATCCAGGAGAACACGAGCGGCCTTGACCGCCGCGTCCCAGCAAACCCCAACCAAAGGCAGGGAACGAGGTCGGGCAGTGTCAGCGGTGGGGTCTGACCTCTCCCCTCGCACCGATTCCGCTCCTGCTCCTTGAGGGGCGGCCGGTTTGTGCCGTTTGGCGACGCCGGAGGTGCCTGGCCAAGGCGCTCAGCCCTGTCCCGCGGCCGCCTCCGTCCATGGTCCCGCTGAGCTCCCCTCGCTCCGGTTCCCGGGATCCTGTCCCGGCACGGCCTCCTTTCCCGCCGCCCGGCCCTGCCAGCCGGTGACGCTCCGGAGGGGCCTCAGGGCCGCCGAGCTGGTGTCACCACCCGCCTTGCGGAGCGCCGGGATCCCTTATTCCCAAGCATGGCCAAAAGCAGCTCCGGGCTGAGCTCCGGCCCCGGAGGTGGCAGCAGCCCCGGCAAACGAAGAGCATTCGCCCTGTGGCAGCAACCTTGGCTCCGACCAGCCCATCACAGCAAACGGGTCCTTTGCACAAAGCCACACTCACAGGACACACGTTTAAACGTGCATTGTAGGACCACTGATGGACAGGACTGCAACTACGAGCCGAGCCCCAGCTCAGCCTTGCTGTGACGCGCTCTGAGCCATCCGGGCCCGTTTCCCAGCCTGTCACCAGGCTCAGCCCAACGCGCCACTGCCTGGAATTTCCTCAGCATCCCAGTTGTGACAAACAAACTCCCTGGACCCTCCTGGGGTCTCCATCACACAGGGTGAATCTCGGTGCGTTGCCGTTTTGCGCTCCGGGTGCATCCCGCACGCAGCCCCGTCCCGGCCCCGCGGGCTGGGAACCGCTCGGGACCTTCCCTTCCTGCTCACCAAAATCCGCAGGTGGAAGAAACTATCCCAAAGCAGAAGCGTTTGGTCCCTGCGGGAAGGCCGGAGCTGGCGCCAGCAGCAGCTGCACCGAGTCCTACCTTGCTGCAGGCAGCACGTGAGAGCGGGCGGCGCGTGCGAGCTCTCTGCTGCACCACGAGCAGGACAAAACCCAGCCATGGGCTTGGGCAGGTCGGGGAACTCGTCACGGCCCCTCTGCACTCGTTAATTAGACCTGCCGCCTAATTACAGGAGAGCGGCCCCCGTGTAGCTGCAGCCACCCAAAGCAAAACTGTCTTCCCTTTCAAATTAAAGTTCAATTTGATTTTACAATTGCACCTCTCGGGTGTAATAATAGTTTTCCTCCTGTTTTTACGCCTCTTCCAAGATTTTTTCCTTCCCCATGGCAACCTGTCTGTCCTCACTCCCCACGTGGGAGTCGCTCCGAGCTTTGTGAGCGCTCCGGGTTACTCACGACAGCTGAGCAGCAACAAACCTCTCTGGAGCCTCCCTGATACCTACAGCAGCTTTAAGAAATAGAGCAATAAATAGATAAGCAAGTATAAGCACAAGGGACAGGGGCCCAGGGAGGGAGCTCAGCCCAGGTACGGGGCAGAGAGCGGGATTAAAGCACACATTTCTCATTCCCCATGTCTGCATCATTCCCCGATGCTTTCTCTGAGCAAGATTAATTGCCTCGAGCCCATGCAGAACAGCTCGACGGCTGCTCTGCCATATGCTGGCTGCCTATAGAGCAGGGACGCCAAAACACGGATAAAATAACACACATTATTTTATGCACTTGCCTCGCTTCCCGTCTTGCTCACATGCCCCCTCTCCCTTCCGAAGGGGGATGGAATTTTGCAGCAAGGCCGAGCACGACCCTGGGAAGGGCAAGCACTGGGATAAAGGAGCGCTAGGATATTATTCTTTAGGGTGCAAGCACATGAGTTCATTTTCAAGGGACACTCAGGGCCCTTGATTTCTTGCCCTTCTCTTGCCATTCTGCTCTCAGCTTTGGAAGGCTCCCCGTGTTTTGCGCGGCGCTCGTTTGCTCGCAGCGACGCATCCAAGCAGAGCAGTCAGTGCCGGGCTTCTAATCCTGCCCATTTTTCTCATGCTTTGCTCAAAGCAAGAATAAACCCATGTCTGGTGTGCACAATCTAGAGAGCTGGCTGCACCCAAGTTGGAAAAACCCAATTAAAAACCCTGCTGGTGTTCTGAGAGCAATGCTAGGTAAGCTTAGCAAAGGGGAAGGAACCCGGACTGCTCGCCAGAGCTGGGGAATTAGCAGGGCTAGTTATCCCCATGGGATCTTCTTCCAAACAGGCTGCCACCTCCCAGGCTGCCAAAGGAAAAGGCACTTCTCTAAGCTCTACAGAGTTGTTCGCCACCAACTTTCATCAGGTTGTCTAATGCAATGGCACTTCTCTAAACTCTACAGAGTTGTTTTCTTTTCCACCAACTTTCATCAGGTTGTCTAATGAGAAACGAAAGAGTCCAAGGAACTATCTTCAAGCACGTTCCTGCTTCAAAGATGTGGTTCTTTAATCGAAACAGAACTACTCTTGTCACAGCAGCAAGTCTCCACTTGTGCCTCTGTGCTGCTTCCACCACTTGTCTCAGCCCGCTGACGTCCAAAGGCAACGCATGACCCCGACAGAGAGCCCAAATGAAACCAGGCAGTTCCACAGCAAAGGGAGCTGGTTGGATTTACTCCTTGAGCAGCAAAAATCCCAGAATCCCAGAATGGCTGAGGTTGGAAGGGACCTCTCGAGATCATCTAGTCCAATACCCCACTCAAAGCAAAGGGTGGCTCATTGCATCCAGGCAGGTTTGAAGGTCTCCAGAGAAGGAGCCTCCACAGCCTCTCTGGGCAGCCTGTTCCAGTACTCTGTCACCTTCACCCTTTCCCTCAGGAAAGAAGTTCTTCCTCACATGGAGGTGGAACTGCCTGGGTTTCAACTTGTACCCGTTACCCCTTGTCCTGTCACTGGCCGCCACCGAGAAGAGTTTGACCCCATAAAATCTTTCATTTACCCTCAGTTTTTGCAACCCTAGTATTTTTAGCATATTATTTACAGCTACTTAAGCAACAGACACCACTTGCACATGGAGCATAAGATGTTCTGAAATAAGGAACATGTGGCTGCAAGTGAGAATGGAAGGATCTTCTGAAGGGACGATCCTAGGGTTCCCCCTGGAGATGTCCCCTTTATCAGCCCCAAACCAGATTTCAGGGCACATTTCCCTCAGCCGTGGCACTGAGAGCGCCCGGGAGGGCTCCTGGGCCGGGGCACCTACCGGGACGACAGGCTGGGCTTGCCGCTCTTGCTGCAGCTCGTGTAAATCCCGGGGCCATCGTCGAAGAAGCTGCCGAGGGCCAACTTCTGCCTGATGGACTCTCTCTCATTCTTCTGAGCCTGCAAGCGAAGGGAAACACAAAGGGGTTAAGCTCTTTCTCCCATCATCATCATCATCATCATCATCATCATCATCATCATCATCATCACACTGACTTGAAAATGTGATGATCACATCGATCACGTGAACTTAAAATAGCTAATAACTTAATTCTAACTTCAGTGGTGACTACATACACTTTATTCTTACATTATCCATTCTATTGTCATTCCCTTAACAAATGAGCACCTCGTTTGCAAGCCAACTCCTCTTTAATCACCGCACGTGATAATTTAAAATATTGTAAACCAATCTGATGATAGTACTGAGTAGAAGTGAGTGTTGAAGCCCAGCTCCAGTTTGTAACCAGCCTGTCCAACAAAACCTTCTGCTCCGTTTCCTAGGGTTTCCCCCACCTCGCTGCATGAGTGTCTCTAAAACTCCAGATGACTCCCAGGTTTCCATTTATCCAGCTCTTTGCCCTAAAATGTGCAGAGGTGACGCATGTAAATCTCAGACCTGATATCTGTAAGATAAACCCGCAGTGCCAAATCCTTAAGTCAAATGCTGGTGTGATGAGACAGGCCGTGGCGTGCTGCATTTCAAGGGGTTTTGCATTTTTGCAAGAGTGCAAATAAAGATTCAAAGCACCTGCTCCCAGGAGCAACTAATAACGTCCTCGGATGGGGTCGGAGACTCGTCCAGAACGCAATAAAACACCCGCACACATTGCCCTGCAAGGGGACGGGGAGGTGTTTTCCCCTTTCAGATGGTGCCGGCTCTCCAGACCTTTTCTCATTTTGCTCCGTTTCCACCGGGATTTGCAACGGCTCCTGCTGGAAACCTGCACATTTCTTCACGGTGCAATTTGTTTCCTTCACCGGGTCATTCCCGAGGATACTGAATATCCAGTAGTGCCGGTCCGGAATGCACAACAGCCTGGTTTCCAAAGGCCCCGCGGGAAAACGACCGGGAAGAAATCCAAGGTGTCCCTGGTTGTTATGAACCAGGGGCCGGTTCCTAGGAAATGCAGAACTCCTCCGGGAGCCGGGCTTTACGCTGCAGACAGATCACCCAGCGGCTGCCCTGCACATCCCAACATGGAAAACCAGGAATTGAGAAGGAAACGCAGAAATGCTCTCTACCCGCAAATATCCCCCCTTTGAATCTAATAGGAAATATGTGAAAAATAAAGGGATTATTGGAGAACTCGCTCGCTCGCCCAGGTCGCTCCCCCACAACCAGTTCCCACTTTTCCTGCCCGCGCCGTTTCCCACGGAAGCCGCGGGGATCGCGAGCCGGTTGCTCATCCCTCGGTGGCCATTATCTCCTCCTGACCCATTTCAGCTCTCCCTGACCCATTTCTAGGCACGTTTTCCTCTGCATAGAGAAAACAACAGCTGACGACGGAGTTCTTCAGCGCTCGGAGACCCCAGTCTGTCCACAGCACCCACCAGCGGGACCCACATGGAACCACTCGCTTGACATTCGGAGGTAAAAAAACACCGGGGGCCTCTGCTCCACGAAGCCCTTCCTGGGCGCCGGGTCGGCTGCCGCTCGCTCGAGCACCGCGGGATTCCTGCTCCTTCCCGAGAATCGGAATAAAGCCCATGTTTTATAATTTCCCTCGCTTAAGAAGCAATAGTTGGACGTCTCTTTGCAATACATCCCACTCCTGATTTATTTAGTGAGCAGACAGCTGTATTAATAACCCCTGCTCATTAAAGCGTCATCTGAACTACGTGAAACGGCGCATAAAATATTTATTTGAGATTTGCCATTGCCCCTGCGGTGCTTTGGAGCAGGGCCGTAAGGGACAGTGACAGTTTCTGTGGTTGTGTCGGCCCACGGGGCCAGAAACGTTTGAGAAAAAGAAATCTGGATGGGAGAAACCACGAATATTCAGCAAGAGCCCAAGCAGGGCCACTTCTGACAGGCGACTGGGAGCCAAAAAAGGCCTGTGAGGCCATGGCAAGGATCATCCCAGCCCATCCCACGGAGGGGTGGGATGAACACGCGCCTGCCGTTGGCAGCAGGGCCCCGGCAGGAGCTCCGGCTATTTTTGCCAGGGCCTGTTATTACAGACGCGGCCAACGACTATATTTAAAGTCCCCAAACCAAAGCCAGGGCCCTTTTTTACCGCTAGAGAGCACGACGGCTTGCAAACAACCCGGACTGCAGCGCACTTGTTTGAGAAATCTGTGTCTTCACCACGGAATTACAAGAACACGTAAGATCAGGTCAAGCTCCCGCAGCCCCTCCGAGCCGGAGGCAGCAACGGGCCCGGGAACGCTCCGCGAATGCCGGGAAACGCGGAGCTCCGCGGAGCGCCGGGCAGGGGGAGCGGGCGGCCGCGCGGGGACAAAAGGGCCCTTTTTGTCCCTTTCCTTTTTGTAATTCCCGGCGGCGTCCGGCGCGGGTGCCTGGCGGATGATGTCACCCATCCCATCGCCGGCGGCCCCGCGCTCCGCGTGTCCGTGCGCGCGGCGCCGGCCGCTCCGCGGGCGGCCTCCCCGACGGCTTTTCCCTAATAAAGGCAGCAAGCCGGCGACGCGGCCGCGGAGCCGCGATAAAAATAGCCAGAGGCGCCGGTGGCTCCCGGGAAACGGGACGGGGCTTCCTCCCGGGAGTTCTGCAGTGATATCCCGGGGGAAGGCGGGAGCGGAGCCGCTGGGTTTCCGCACGGGACCCACCGGTCGGCGCCTTCCCGACCCACCGCAGCCAGGAGGGGCTCCCCGCGTTGCTCGCGGTGATAACGGGAAGTTTTCCCAGCTCGGGAACCTCCCAAGCGGCTCCTTGGCTAAAACAGCCCTTTTTTTTCAGGCACCAGGAGGGTGTCTAGGGAGCAGCAAAGGGAGCCCCGGGCTCGGCGCCTCCCCGGGAAGCTGCTCTCCGAAGGTGGGAAACAGCAGCGGCCCCGTCCCGCGGCCACGGACAGGAGCGCGGGTCAGGAACAGGGCTCGGCTAGGGGGGTTCAGCTGGTATTCCCAAGCTCCAAAGCCTATGCTCAATCCAAGCTCTTCCCAAGCTCCAAAGCCTACGCTCAATCCCAGGCCTTCCCGAGCTCCAAAGCCTACGCTCAATCCCAGGGCTTCCCAAACTCCATGTCCACATTCAAGTCCTTCCTTATCCACGTGTGATGACAGCAGACCTGGCACCTAGCGTTGGCTGTAGCTTGGACCAGTAATTTTGGTGGCCCTGCACAGTTTTGGTGGCCCCCGCACCTGCACCTTGGGCATCTCCGTTGCCCAAGGCTCCCCCGGGTCTCCCTTTCCATCCAGTTCACCAGTTTTACGGACACGCGCCACAGCACCAGTCCACTCCAAAAATCCAGATTTTACACTAAAGGGAAGCGACAGGCAGAGCCTGGGAGCGGAAAAGGGACACAAAAGCAGGAAGGGCCTGACGGAGGCCCCCTCGCTCACCCTGAATCCCGCTCCTGCATCACGGTCCT